TTAGTGGTAGAAAATTCTCAGAATACCAAATGTCTTCATGTTGTCGTGATTTCTCTGCGTTTGTTTGGAGCAGATCACGTTAACTATGGAAGAAAAGAAGCAAAGCGAGGAGACTCCAGGACTTGTCTCACCCACAAACTGCTGCCAGTGTTGGGAGAAACTTGGCTAAACAGATTTAATCTGCGCTGATGACGGTTTATGATGCTTTTGTTTTTATAGATTTAGACTTCACAGCCTCTAAATAGACATCACAGATTTCCTGTTGAGCTCTGAATAATAAAGGTGGATGTGTCTTAAGCTCGCAGGCATCCTGAGCAGGAAGGAAAGAGGAAGAGGGATGTTGGGTAATGGAGGCCAGTGTGCTTCAGGGGCTTAACTGTATTGATCTTACAAATAGGTTATCGCTTTTTTCCCTACAAGACGGGGCTGGTGTGTTTAGAAATGTGCACCTGGTGATGCTTCTTAGCTGTTTTAGTTTGAAAAGGCTTCAGATACGTTGGATGTTTCAAGGTTTATTTTTTAATTTTATTTCTATTTAATATAAGGGAGAGTGCATCCAGCAGTTCAAGTAGCAAACATTCACAATAGGGAAGGAAGTGAACAAACACACAGCCAGCACGCTGGTTTTCCTTTGCAGGATTTCTTTTTTTATATATTTAAAGATTTTTTGTGTAAAATAAAGGAAAATATACATTTCTTGTTCTATTTATTTATAAATGTGATTTCTCTAAAACGGCCAGATTCTAAAACATTTAATTCACAAAAATAAAAAAACTTAACATTAATATCTAAAAACTAATAAATAATGAATATTAACATTAGTTTAATCTTTATCTGTATTTTCTAACTGATTAATTTGGATCGCTTTTGCTCTGTTCTTCAGTTTGACCTGTTTCATAGCAGCGTTAGCTAAACTCCGATAAATGTGGGTTTGGCCTCTAATCCAGCTGCTGAAACCCCCCCACCCTCCCACCCCCGAGCCGCCACTGCTTCGGGGATAAATTTTTCTGCTGCATATTGCAAAAGCGTTATAAATAGTATGTCAGCCCATGTAGTGCTCCTATCTATTGCTGCCCCCACCCCTCCCCTCCTGGCACAAAGATCTCTTGTTCCTCGGTGAATGCGTGCTGCCCTGAGCCATTCAAGCTTTTGTGGGGGCCGAGGGGCCCCTCGCCCCCACCCCTCTCCTGTGCCGGGGTCAAAGGGAGGCAGGGCTTATCCCTGGTTAGTGGATGAGGACTGGGAAGGAAGGGGAGACGAGAGTGAGAGATGGCATTGAAGTGGATCAACGTGGAAAATTATTTACAAAAAACAACAACAAAAAAATGTTATATTTAATTTGTTAATTTACATTAAATTTCTGATTTTTATTTTATATTTTGCCGTTATTACTTTTTAAGTTTTAATAATTAAATTTCTTATGTTGGAACCATGAGGTTTCTTTGGGACAGAGCAATAATCGCATTGATATTTATTTTTATTTACATTTTTTAAGAATATTTCTGTATTTTTACTTTATTGTTATAAGTATTTCTCTTCATTAGGATACAACATCTTCCACTCCTTTCATTTGGTTTATTTTCATGAGTTTGTGCTAAAAGTATCACAGGTAAATCATTTTCAAAGCATGGTTATCTGTAATTCTGACATTTAGCTTTTTAATTACAAAGGAACCTGTAGTTATCATTATAGTACATTATAGTAATTAATATTTACATAAATCCCACTTTTGACGGGGAGTCAGTAACAAAGGACCCAGATGACCCCGGTGGTGTTGATCTCTCTACAGGTGTCTTCTCTGCTTCCGATGGGTCATCGTCGGGGACGGGAGCTGTCTCCATGGGCGGGGCAAGTTCCGAGTTGTCACAGCAACAGCAGCCCACACCTTCCCTGGCCCCTCCCTCTCCGTTCACAGCCACCGCACCTCTCAGCAGCACGGCCTCCGCACACGTGAGTCCCAACAAGCCACCTGACCACTGCAACACACTCCATCTCTCTCTCTCTCTCTCTCTCTCTTTCTCTCTCTCTCTCTCTCTCTCTCTCTCTTTCTCACTCTCTCTCTCTTTTGTGTCTGCCTTCATTCGGCGAACCCCGTCTCTCACATCTCCGAACTCGAGAGCAGATAAAACGTGTGAATACAAATAAACTAAAGCTCAGCAATTAAACATCTTCTTCAGCTCCATTATTAATCCTCTGCTGGTTAATTATCTGTGAAATGAGTGTGTGTGTGTGTGTGTGTGTGTGTGTGTGTGTGTGTGTGTGTGTGTGTGTGTGTGTGTGTGTGTGTGTGTGTGTGTGTGTGTGTGTGTGTGTGTGTGTGTGTGTGTGTGTGTGTGTGTGTGTGTGAGAGAGCGCGTGCTGACCTTGTGCATCTATAGCTGAATTCCGGGTGCACCTGTGGAGGGTCTGCCTCGATTTATTGGAGGAACAAAACAAAAAAATCTTCGATGGTGTTCTCCAAATGTGCCGTTAAGTTCTGTTAACCCTCGAGAACAAGGTTATAATATTATGGGATGCCTGGCTGCTAATTAATGCGTACTTTTGGGGTGTAAACAGATAAAAATTCAATCATCCTACAGGGAAAAATCATTCAGGCACCAGGGTAAAGAAAACCACCAAACCAAGGCTGTGTGTTGTAGCAGAATGCACACCCTGTTCTATTTAATATATCTTAATGTGAAGAGCAGCTAAAACACACACACTCGCACACACACACACACTTTGACCAGATCTTTTATCCTCCACAAGCTCAAGTGTCTAAAATCAAGGCTGCATAAGATGAAACGTTAGAAATATTTGTGGAAAACGACAAACCTCATGTATAAAAGCTGCTGTTCACCAGTGTGATTGAATTATTTAAGAGTAAGATTTCCACTCTTCCTCTTGGACACTTTAATCATTTCTGGCGCGTTTTCCAGCGTCTTATGTAAGCTAACGTCTAATTTTCAGGTCATCGGGTCAAACCTGAGCTGCTCTGTTTTAAAGGAACAGAATAAAATTCATCCTCCTCCTCCTCAGCTGACCGTGGTGTTTAATGGTTTGTAACCTCCCAGAACGCCATCTTCATTTGTCTCCACCGCTCTTTTATTTTTCTCACACACTCTTTCCCTCACCCTTGACCTGCCTCCCGTTCGTCCACATCCATTTCTATCTTTGCCCCGTCCTGTTGTCCTGTGATGTAACCACATCTGACAAGCTCAACAGTAGGGATGGAGAGATGGATTGTGTGTGTGTGCGCGCGCGTGCATGTGTGTACACGTGTGCACGTGCATAAAAATTGTCATTTATTTTCAGTATTTTATTATTTCTTATTTCCACTTGTTCTAGTGTTTTATTTTAGCGCTCCATGACACGCATTCTGCTTTTCAAAATAAAATGAAATCCTTTAAAGTTCAGGTGAATATTTGATTTAAAATTTTATCCATGTTCTTTAATTACTTTTAACATTTTTATTGTTGTTGTTGGATCTTTTTACTTGCGGTTAGCAGCATTTAAAAAACAAATAGTATTTGTGATGTTGATCGAACGTTTCTGACATTAAGGTGACCATGAACGCTCGTAGAGGTCTACATGTGTCAGAGGAGAGTGCAGAGTCATGGAAGTTTCATCTGTTTTCCGCAGAGTCAGTCAGCCATTTTGTTCCTGTAGATGGAGCGGATTCCCCCTCCTGATGCTCCGCCCCCACCCACCCCTCACACCGTGGCCCTTATTTGGGAAATGCCTTAATTGGATTAAACTCTATGCATCAGAAACACTTTGTCAGCATGTCAGCGTACTGTCGGGGTGCCGAGGCAGTCGGAGCCTCATGTGTGCAACCCAGTAATGAGCTGCTGCTTCATTGTGTGCTTATTTATTTATTTATTTATTTATTTATTTATTTATTTATTTATTTCACATGGAAATGACGGTGAAGTGTCCCAGCTTCATATCTGGGTTTTAATTGGGAAATCATTCTAAACCTAAAAATCTTTCTCTCCTTTTTTGAGGCGTTCTCTACGAAGCTTCAACTTTCATGTGTTTAAAAATAGCTGTTGACTCTTTTCTTCCATTACTGAGCCTGATGAAAATGCTTTTGTGTTTGTGTAGTAAACTTGTAGATAGTTACGTAATTTAGATTAATCGTGTCACAGGTAATTTCTCAAATCTATGATTTTGTGCCATGCATGGCGGGGTGTAAGTTTGGTTTAGTTCTGGTCAGAATTTACACACTTTTTATTATTTAAAAATACAAATAATTAAATTATAAACTGTAAAATTACAATGCTCTTCTCTGACTTAAACAAGTGAATAAAATCCATAGTAAGATGTGGCACGTGTGTGTGTGTGTGTGTGTGTTCCGTCCTCAGGTGGGTGCCCTGCCGGGCTCAGCGTTCAACTTGGGCCCTCCACACATGTTCGGCAACAGGCTGAACCCCAACTCCTCTATGGCGGCTCTCATCGCTCAGTCTGAGGCCACACCAGCAGGTACAACCTAGTTTTGTGTGTGTGTGTGTGTGTGTGTGTGTGTGTGTGTGTGTGTGTGTGTGTGTGTGTGTGTGTGTGTGTGTGTAAAGAATAAGAGAAGAAGATAATGGATGGGTCACGCCCCTTGATCCCGCAGAAGGGTCAGGGGTCAATGATGGTCATAAGCTCCTCCCACCATGCTTACACAGCTCTGTCACATCCTTCTGGCTTGTTCGTTCAGTGTTTAACTGTGTGTGTGTGTGTGTGTGTGTGTGTCTAGTTCAGTGTGTTAGAAGAAGCAGAACAGACTGTCAGGGACTCATGATAGGTGGCAAGAAAGTTTCTGTGTGTGTGTGTGTGTGTGTCTGGTACGGAGTAGCTGATGAGAGAGTAAGGAGTGACTTTAGCTTCCTGATAGAAGACATCTGGTTGGCCAGAGAGCCGAGAAGAGAGGGAATAAAGAGGGAAGAGGAGGAAGTGGTTCCTGCTGTCAGTCAGCAGTCATCAGAGCCAGATCCACTCTGACCTGCAGGTCAGGTCACTAATCAGGCTCTGTGATGGGGCCACAGGGGTATGTGTGTGTGAGCGTGTGTGACTGTGTTTAATCCTAATGTGCATTTTGTTAAAGTAAATAAAAATTATTTCAGTTTTCGGTTTGTGGAACACTGGAAATTTTTGCTAATTATTTTAAAGTTTTGTGTTAAACATAAAATACATTTTCTAATGGTAAAAGCTACATTTTATATCTCATTTATTCTCTAGAGATGCACCAATTCTGGATTTTAAGACCGATTCAGATCTGAAACAGACTCATTTAGTCAGATTTTCCTTAAAAAGTGAAAAAAATAATCTGGATAAATGTTAAAATTATTATGTATAAAATATATAAACCTACATTATCTATTATATGTATTGTTTTAGGAGAAAGTTCTGTTTTATTGTTTATCTTTGCACTTGATGGTGTAACTGGAAAAATGGAGGATTTTTTTCTGCTTTAAAAATCTGACATCCAGTATAATTTTTCATCACCTAAATAATTTGTCCATTAGCATAAAATCGTGTTTAGGGTTATCCCGCCTGGGAATTTAACTTAAAGCTGCGCATCTTTATGTTGGCCATGTTTTATTGATTCTTCGATTTAACCCGATCATGGCTGCAGCTGCGGTCATGTGGAGCGTTTGTAGAGGATTCAGAAGTTTAGTTTGGCGGCTGCTGGGGGTCGTGCGAGGTGTGTGTGTGTGTTTGCATGTAGCATGTTTATTTTGGCAGCCGTTGCTCGTTGCTTTCGAGTGACTAGAGGGAGGTGTCGGGACGGAAAGGGTTACGGCAGGAAAATTAAAAGGAATTGGAAAAATGAAGGAAATGAAGTAGTGACCTGGTGGGGGGGTGACCGTCTTAAGTAGAGGGGAGTTTGTGTGAGTGCATAAATGTAAAAAGTGTGTGTACATGTGTGATTCATTACTCTCAGCGAGGAAAATGAAAAGAAGCATCTGGCCAGGGGCCCAGAGGGAGGAGAGAGCGAGAGGGAGAAGCCGTCTGAATGGAGGCTCGTGTGTGAGATTAAAAAACCGGTTCTGAAGTTGGATTACAGAACATTTAGCTTCTGATGAGAGAGAACGCATCAGAATACTTTAGTTTCTATCAGCCGGAACCAGGAGAAGGTCCCCAAACTAAAATAAACCGGAGTTTTACATCCTCACTGAGAGAAAAGTGTTCAACAACCAACTAGATCAGACAGAATCTGGTGTTTCTGATCGTCCACAGATTTTCCTCTAAAATTCATTTTCTCAGCAAAACAAATAAAATTCCTATTGATTTAGAAAAGTTTTTCCTGTTTAACCTCCTGAGACTCGAATTTGTACTTTCTGTGATTTAAAAGAAAACACAATTCTAGCTTTTACAGGTTAGTCGATTCTCAGAAACGGGATCAAATATTACTTGGATGAAAATAAATTTAAATAAAAATGTTGACAAATTTCTGAAACACATTATCTTGGTAAATATCAAGTCTCTCTAAATAATGAAAAAGGTTTAAGTTAAAGTGCCAGAGGCCAGACACGGGGTCTCAGGAGGTTAGGCGAAGGAAATCTTGTTCTGTGCTTTTCATGTTGAAGATGGTCGCGTGATGTCAGAATGGACTCGGAACAAAAGGAGGGACTGAACACATTTTTCTGCATTAAAAATATCATGAATGAATGTTTTTGTTTTTCTTCATCAGAATTGAGACAAAATGACGTCCTGCAAACATTTTAATGCACAAAGTGGCTTTGATGTCAGACGTTTCACTGTTTTCTTTGTGTGTGTGTGTGTGTGTGTGTGTGTGTGTGTGTGTGTGTGTGTGTGTGTGTGTGTGTGTGTGTGTGTGTGTGTGTGTGTGTGTGTGTGTGTGTGTGTGTGTGTGTGTGTGTGTGTGTGTGTGTGTGTGTGCGCGTGTGTGTGTGTGTGTGTGTGTGTGTGTGCGCATGTGTGTGTGTGCGCGTGTGTGTGTGTGCGTGCGTGCGTGTGCGTGTGTGCGTGTGCGTGTGCAGATCAGGATGTGGGAGACAGCAGCAGCGGCGGATCTCAAGGCTTCTCCATCAGAGCTTCTCCCAAGACCACCCCGCGGTGAATACACACTCTCTCACTCTCCGATGCCCTCCCACCCCTCCCTCATCATTTACATTCCTCACTGCCCCCTCATCCCCCCTTTTCTCCTGCCTTTCCCCTCGCCGGCCCCTCGGCTCCGCTCTCTTCCTCTCTCTCCTCACACACACACACACACACACACACTCACATTCCCTCGTTGGCGGCGTTTGCCCCTACAGGCGATTTTCTCTCTCCTGACCAACCCAGGCTGGTTCTGTAGGAGGTAGCCATCCTTCAGGTCCAGTTGGACTCTCTTCTCTCCTGATCTAGTTTAAGTCTTGAGTTTCGGCTTCACTTGGGAATATTTGCATGGATTCTCCAGGATGGGAGCATTGATCAGAAACATTTTTGTTTGTCTTCTACTTTTTTGGAGCGTGTGATTCCTTTAGACAAGGTTGGTAAGTTATTTATTGGTCAAATTAGTTTAATAAATAATGATATTTTATACTGAATGTGGCTCGGCCATCCTTGATACTAGTTTATATATTTTAAGGCTAAAATCCTCCTCTTTAGGAACCGTTTAATCCTCGGGCAGCCATGTTGTTGACTTTAAAAGCCTTTATTCACGTCCCCTCTCCGCTCCTGATGTCCCTCGTCTCTCCTCTTTCACACCCAACAGATTGTCTCAACCACCAGGATTTATCGCATCAGGACGTTGCACTCCCCTCGCTGTCTCTCCGCGTCCCGTTTCTCCCTCCCTCTCCTCGCTGTCCTCCGGCTCTCACACGCAGACAGAAAGCCTGGCCCCTTTTCATTAGCGGCCACTGTAACAACAAATTGATGTAGTTTTATAGCCAGCAGTGTCTATGTTTGTCTGACATTTATGTTGGGTCGTTAATCTCCCTATTGACCTCTCCATCCCTCTCTCTCTCCCCCTCCGTTCAGCTCGCCCATTGGTGGCCTGCAGATCCGCTATGACTCCTCAGGGTCGTTGCCGGGGTTGGGGGTGCTCGGAGGCGGAGGCGGCGAGACGCTGCCCCCGGTGGCCACCAGCATCGAGCAGCTCCTGGAGAGGCAGTGGAACGAGGGGCAGAGCTTCCTGCTGCAGCACGGAGCGCAGGGAGACGGTGAGTGGACACTTCCTGGCCGTGCCACCTGGCTTTTTCTCTTTCAGTGGTTTTATCCGTCATTGTTCCACCTGCCAATATCTATCCATCATCCGCTTATCTCAACATCCCTTCTGGGATCAATGAATCCAAAATGAAAAATGAAGCGACGGCTGCCCAGTTGTTAGAAAGGCCGTCCTTCAGCTGGATCAGGCTGACTGAAATGTCCTCCCTCGTGTCTCATCTTGTCCTTGAGCTCTGGACTAAATCTGAGTGAGCACTGGGGGGCAGTGGCAGCTTATGCTGACCTTTGACCTCCCTGTGGAATATTTCAGAGGATGCTTGGACAGAAGGTGTGTGGAGGCGGAGCTGATGGATGATTAGTGTAGATTTGTGGGTGATGGTGGCACAGGAGTTAAGTGCTCGCCCCGTAATCGGAAGGTTGCAGGTTCGAGCCCCGCTCAGTCTGTCGCTGTGTCCTTGGGCAAGACACTTAACCCATGTTGCCTGCTGGTGGTGGTTGGAGGGACCGGTGGCGCTGTGGCTACATCGTAGCTCATCACCATCTGTGTGTGAATGGGTGAATGACTGATTGTGTTGTAAAGTGCCTTGGGGGGTTCCAGGACTCTAGAAGGCGCTATATCAAATACAGGCCATTTACCATTTAGTCTCCTCACTAGTGAATAAGCGCGTCCTGTAGCTAACTTTTATAGTAAACGTGTGAAAATGGGATGTGTTTCTGACCTCCATCAGTTGTGGGGATGTTGAAGAGTCTCCACCAGCTGCAGGAGGAGAACAGGAGGCTGGAGGAGCAGATCAACACTCTCACCATGAAGAAGGAGAGGCTCCAGCTTCTCAGCGCTCAGTTGTCCGTGCCTTTCACCTCCACCGTCTCCTCCGGTAAGCACGCCAACAAGTTCAGATCTCGAGGTGCAAAAAAGGTTTGAAGCTTCCACTTTTACTTCAGAGGAGTTTAAACACAAGCTGTTTCTGTGCAGCAGATGTAAAGGGAGCCCAGCCTGGAGGTTCAGACTCTTCTTTACCTGTAGCAGCTCAGGTGAGAACTCCGTTTCCCACCTCATCACCGACTCATGACTCGCTTCAATAGTTAAGATTCACTGAAGCAAACGTCTGTCATGATTCTCCTCAGGACACGGCATCATGTGGCGGTCACAGCAGCAGCGGCTCCACCTCTTCGCTCTCCGCCTCTCCCTCTGTCTCCCAGAGTCCGCCTCAGCCGGCGCTTAACGGCGTTGCCACGGCGGCTGGTCTGGGTGGCGTGGCGGGGCTGATAGGAGCTCTGGGGGCGGGGAACACTCTGGGAATAGGGGGGATCGTTGGAGCGTTGAACGGCGTGATCCAGACTCCAGCGGGCACCGCCAGCCCTCACACGCATTCTACAGGAGCGGCGCCCGTCAGTAGCAGGTAACCAATTAGCCTATCTCACAATTCTTCTATTTCCAGTGCAGAAGTCATCAGAAGCAGAACTGAAGTTCATAAACCTTTGTCTTCTCCTTTTATCTCTTTTTGCTGCCATGTTGGATTCTAGCTCAGCAGCTAGTAAGAACAGGTGAGACGGGTCTGCAGAACCTCCGATGCTGAGCGGGACCGTGCACATAGTTTATGGTCATTTCTGGAAATCAGAATAACAATGAGCATGTGTGCGTGTATGTGTGTGTGTGCGCGTGTGTGTGTGTGTACATGTGTGTGTGCATTGCTTCATCAATAGGTTGGGCCGTGTTCCATTGTAAAATCATTGAAGCTCTAATTACATGATACCAGTTTCACGATCTGCTGAAACAGCCTTTAGAAACTCATCACTGATTTTAGTTTAGGGCGTTTTAGGGGGTTCTAAATGATTTCAGCCCTGATATTTTATATCTCCTCCTCAGCTGCTGCTCCAGCAGGTGGCGCTGGTTCAGGAGATGAAACAAACGATATAATTTGTGGCACACGCCGCTTTGTTTTTTCTTTTTTCCGGACTATAAATAGCAAAAATGTGTCCACACAGCTGAATTGTTCAGGCCATTGACATCTGTCATGTCATTCGCCGTGTCCGCCATATTTATTTTCTTTCAAGGCGCTCATTTTCTCTGACGTTACCTAAAGTAAGAGGCTACAGTTGCATTAGCATTAGCTGTTAGCGGTCCGGCTACTACTTTACCATGTGTGCATCTCCATTCCAGCCACATGATTGGTCCAATGCGGAGCGACTCTAGTATTGAAGCTAGCTGATAGGCTAAAATTTTTATTGTCTGGCCCTATTCAAAGCTTCTTGCTGCCCTTCTTAAACATTAGGTGTTGCTATGGCGATAACCGCTGCAGGAGTGGCAGCAGAAGAAGAGTTTAGATAAAGGAAGACCCTTCATTATCATGTGTGATCAAGTGTATTATATATGGATCTTTACTAGAGTATTTAGTAATGGTATAAGGAATAATGTTTTGTGATATTGGAGTTTCTTTAATAATCTTTTCACCTACTAAACCTTCGTTTATGAGGTCCATTTTTGTTTTTCCACTCGTTTTCTTGTCCTCTTCTGTTGATGTTTGTGTTACTCATCCTGAACGTTTTTCTGTCTCATCAGCACCACACAACTGGGCCTGCTGTCTGAGCAGCAGAGACTCCTCCTGCAGCAGCAGCAGCTCCAGCAGCTGCTGTCCTCGCAGCCCTCAGCGGTACAGCACACACACACACACACACACACCTCCGAACCGCTGTGTTCATTAACTACTTCTCCCTTTCCCACGCAGGACCAGCAGCAGCAGGCGTTGTTCTACCGGCTGATGCAGCAGCATCAGGACCTCCATCAGCTTCAGTCCCTCTCCTCCTCCACCCAGCTCCCCTCCTCTCAGCTGCCCATCAACAACCTGCTGCCCGCTGCTCAGAGCCAAGGCACCATCACAGCCAACCCCTTCCTGTCGCTGCAGCACGCACACACCGACACGCTCGGCCCAGGAGCGCAGAAGCCTCGGCTCGCCGAGAAAGCCGTGGGCGTCATGGGCCAGGAGAAGACATGACCGAGCAGGCTCGTTTGTTTATTGATTTTGATTTTTTTTTCACTAAAATAATTATACAGAGCTTTTCTATCAGCCTGTTGGTCAACTTCAGATCATCGGCTGGAGAGAAGTCCATCTTTCTGCTGGATCCTTCTTTCCACACGTGCAAAAAATCTGAGAATATAAGAATTGATGTTTTACAGCCACTATTTGAGCCAGCTGGGGCTGTTTTTGCAGCATTTCCTGGTTACAACCCTAAATCCTGTTTGTACTATTTATTCCAAACTAACTTAGTTTGTTTTTAACTTTTGGGCTGCTTCTGTTCCATATTTTATTTAATGTTCTTGTCAGTAACTGTTTACTAGTGTCATCATGTAGCACTGGTGTGTGTTGTGTGTTTAAGTCAACTACCCAGATATTTTTTTATTATGTTTTAAGTCTAGTTCTGCTTTTTTTTTGGTCATCGTGCTGATGTTTTATGTTTGAGTTCCTCTTTAGTTGAGATGATCAAGTCCCTGGTTTGTGTCGTCGTTCTGCTCTCCGTTGCTTCTCTCTCAGGGGCCTCAGCTGAACCCGAGCTGCAAACAGACAATAAAAACGCAACAGCAGTACATGAATGGATAAATAAATCTATTTAAAAACAAACAAGCATCCAGTTCTGTGGAACAGCACTGAACACAAGCAGATGTGCGTTTGACAGCCGTCTCACAGCGGCCCCCCCAGGGGAGTTTTGGGTCAGGATTGTGAAAAAGTTCTACACGTGTGTGCGTGTGTGTGTGTGTGTGTGTCCCCTTCGTCAATGAAGCAAGCCCCATACGGTCACCGCAGAAGCCTTGTTCTTTCTCTCGCTGTCTCTTCCCGGGCCAGATACCGGAGGGGCCGCCCCCACCCCGCTGCACCTACCTCGACAACAGGACCTAAAAGGCCGACCGCAGCGGCCGCTTATAACCCACCACAGTCTGGACCGGCCAATCAGGGTCCGAACCCAAAGTGCCTGAGGCCAAACGGAGGAGGGGGAAGGAGGCGGGGCTTAGCTGCATAACTCCAGACAAACACCCTGCCGTCAGGCTGGACTTGCTGTCTCTTTTTCATAATAAAACTCTGAAACAGTTTTTTATTTATCTGAAGCGCATGTCTAACGGGGATGAGATGGGCTCTAGTTTAAAAGCGATTCAGCTTCATTTTGTACTACTGTGGACTGTTCCTTTGTTTTCCCTCACTCGGTCTAACTTTGCTGTAAATCCTTTCTAATCGTGTTCAGAAGCTCTGAGCTATTTAACAGTAGGCTGATTGGGCGGGGCTGTGTATATGTGTGGGGGAGGGCACCGTTTTTACCTCGGTAAGTGTACATACAGCGTTCTGATTGGTGTACATAGGTGATCGTGAGTGGCCGTGCTGGTGTGAACAGACGCTTTAGGACCAGACAAAGACTGGGCACACAAAAGTATTAATTTATTTTTCTATGTGCAGGGACTTTGTGTTTCTTTTCCTTTTTGAAGTTTTGCACCAGTCTGTTGATGGTTTTATAATCTGGGCACCATGGTCTAATTTGTTTGTTTGGGTCCTTTTTGTACAAGTGGAAAATATTGTGGGAGAGGGAATCTGACGTATTTAAAATAAAAAAATAAACACTCGGATTAAGAAATATAGCTGGAAGTGTCTGTTGTTGTATTTAAGAATAAAAACACTGATTTTACCTGCTTTTCAAAGTAAAACTCAATTTGTAACAAATATTTTCAAAAGCACACAATGTAGATGTTTTTATAATTGAAGTTATTCATACTGAATGGTAGTTTGGTAACCGAGCCAAAGAGACTCTTGACATCACTAATATTTTGAAATTTAGTAGTTTAACATTTATTTAGTAGTTTATTATTTATTCTATGTTGGATATTTTCTGTTAAAGAAAAAGGTTAAATTTTTCCTCTGAAAATACTAAATCTTTGGAATTTAATCGTTTATTTGGGGAAAAGTCAGAGCTCTCATCAGATTGTTTCCAGTTTATTAACGAACAGCTCAGCTGTTTGAACTTTCTGCAAAATAAAATCATTCTGAGCTGTTTTAAAGAACAGTTACAAGTTAGCTACATGAGTGTAACCCTTTTTATGCAGCAGCAGGATGGTTTAAAGGTGTGTGTGTGTGTGGTGGAGGCTCCATCATGCTACATCCATGTTCTGGTAATTAAAGGCTCACTTTCACAAATAACTTGGAGTTTTCTGCCTACCTCCCTCTCTCCCTCCCCCATTCTCCTCTCTTTACCCAAACACTTGCCCCCCCCCCCTCTCTCTCTCTCTCTTCCTCAGCCCTGTCAATCAAAGCTGAGCTGTTTAAACAGCAAACCCCCCATCACTCCTCACCTCCTGCCTCCCCCACTCGGGACCTTCCACCACCAGAACTGACTCCCTTCTTCTCTCTCTCTCTCTCTCTCTCTCTCTCTCTCTCTCTCTCTCTCTCTCTCTCTCTCTCTCTCTCTCTCTCTCTCTCTCTCTCTCTCTCTCTCTCTCTCTCTCTCTCTCTCTCTCTCTCTCTCTCTCTCTCTCTCTCTCTCTCTCACACACACACACACACACACGCACACACACACTCTGGGCAGAACTGCTGTGTCCATCGATCACACTCTCCTTTTCTCCCTCTCTCTTTAGAGACCCTAAGGGGTGGGAGGGCCTAACAGCTGATGGAGGACCCCCCTTTGCTGTCCCTCCAGGTGCCTGATGGGACCTAGCAGATAGCAGGAGGGGTAAACCTGGATAATCAGACAGATTTCTGCACATTGAGGCTTCAGTCGATGAGGAATTCTCAGCAGAGAAAACAATTCTGACAATTTGGGGTAACGAATTGGTTATTTTAGAAAAGAATTTTGCAGTCTTAGCTTGAGTTGAAGCTGTTTTAATCTGTGCATGTTAGTAAAAATCACTGTGTGTTTTCTCCACACTCGTTACAGCCAAGCAGCTGAATCCAAGCCACAATCAAAAGTTCACCACCTGTAATTCCTGCACAGGTTCCTACATATGTTTGTTGATTCAATGATTTAATTAGGCCTCACCCATGGAGAGGGACAGCAATAAAGCTGAAGAGAGAGAGGAGCTCTGGTGCAATAAACCATTAGCAGAGCAGTCGCTGGTGTGTACAGTAATGCAGTGTAAATCATCACAGAGTAGCTGCCATTAAGCGGCTTAATCCTGGCCAGGAACTGGCAGTCAGCTGCCAGGGGCCCTGATCCGGTGCCGAGTGGAACCAGATCCGGCAGGCCGAGGTGTTTAAGGCTGTCAGTGCAGGGGACGAGGAAGGGTGCAGCTAAGGAGATTCCCAGAGTATTGTGTGTGTGTGTGTGTGTGTGTGTGTGTGTGTGTGTGTGTGTGTGTGTGTGTGTGTGTGTGTGTGTGTGTCCCCTGTATGGGCAATGCAAAGCAGCAGAATCCCATTTTTTTACGTCAGACAGCTTGATTTGCTTGGAGCTCAAACACAACCTCTTACCATGATGAAAAAATATTCAGTTTTAGTTATAATGTAAAATATGTCTTCTCAGATATTTTTTTTTGTTTATATAAAACGACCTGTGGTGCTGTTTATGTTATGATTGATCTTTTTTCAAACAATTAAAATAAACACATAATATTATCTATAAATAGACATTCGGATTTAATCCTGTGAGTAATGGCCTCATATACTAACTTGTGACAACAAAATAATTTATTAATAATAATAATAATAATAATATAGGATTGTATTTATGGTTTAGTAATATGTTTTTAAAAGAGTTGAGGTTTGAAATTTCAAAAATTATTTTCAATTATTGAAGAAAAAAATATAAAAAGGCTAATAAATGTTATATATATATATATATATATATATATATATATATATATATATATATATATATATATATATATATATATATATATACACATACATACATACATACGTGTGTGTGTGTGTGTGTGTGTGTGTGTGTGTGTGTGTGTGTGTGTGTGTGTGGAGGAGGAGTTTAGCGCGAGACCCGGAGATTCAGCGGCTCGCGAGCCACTCTCCTGCCGAGCCGAGTGAGCAGCCGCGCGGCCACTCAGCCTCTCGCGCCGCTGCTTCCAGGCTCTCGCCAGCCGAGCATCTAGGAGCTCCGAAAACCGCAAAAAATTATAAATGAAAGTAATGAAAACAGACGAAGCGTTTGGCTTCAGCCGAGCATAAAAGTGAGCGGTGAACAGAAAAGTGATTTAGTGGTTTTCTGCGCGCTGCTTTTCCCCCTCTGAGGAGGGAAATGCAGCTCCGCTCACACCGCCTCCATTCGCGGCTTCTCAGGCGCAATTTCGCACAAATGTCACAATAGCTTGCTCAAAGATTTGCACCCCACACTGCACTTATTTGCATTTACAAATTCCACTCAAAATTATTTGGTAAATTATGGTTTTATTATCTTTTACAGCCATTAATAATTACCTATCAGACCATTAAGGGACGCGCAGTTGTTTATTTTTGTTGTGTCTTGACCTTTAGACCTTCGCCCACTGGCTAGCCCCTACAGGAATGTGCTGGGTGCAGCTCTTTTCTGTTTGTTGTAAAGTTGATCTGTTATTTTTACTTCAGGACTATTTTATTCTAACAAACTGAGCACATTTTTTATAATTCACATAGATGTGGAGATTTGTCACGAAACCTGAGAAATAATAAAAAATAAATAGGCCTGTACTTAAAAAAAGTCCCATAAAATACCTGGACTAAAAATAAAATTGAAAATCATCCTTTATTTCCACTTCCTGTATTTTCTTGTGAGTGTGAAAGGGCTGTGGGTGAGGAATGAAACACCATTAGGAGGACAGGTGGTGCTGGCAGAGATGGATGTAATCTCGCAGGATTATAATGAATGTCACGGGATATAGATCTGAGATGAGATCTGGTTTGATCATCAGGTAAAAATAGATCAGTCACCAGCAGATCATTACTGATAATTACTTTCAAATGGTCCGCTATGTGAGGGGTGGAGGTGGTGGCGGGGGTCTTTGGTGCCTTCTCTGGACGGTGATGGCAGGCCGAGGGAATTTCATGTGCCATATATGATAATTACATAAAGAACGATGGAGTCCAACTGAGGTGCATCATTAATTAATCCTTATATTGTCATTGTTGATGGGTGAGAAATGTGATTTTTGCTAGGTGTAAAGCTGCTTTCACGGGGCTCTGAGTAACTTGCTCAAGGACGCAGGATTTGATGGTAAAGAAAAGCTCCCCCTCGAGACGAGATGTTGAAATCGGAGCAGCAGAAGTTGGACAAACAGCCTGCAATCAGGATAAATTAGAGAACAACGGGCAAGTGAAGAGAGCTGGGATTTGTCCAGCAGCAACAGCTATTAAATGGTATGGACCCGAGCCGCTGCAGAATGGTACAGGCCAGTGTGTGTGTGCGTGCGTGCGTGCATGCGTGTGTGCATGCGTGTGTGTGTGCGAGAGAGACTCCCGCCCCTGTTCCTCCACCTATCAGAAAACCTCATTTATTATGCAGACTGGAAACCCTCACTCCAGTGTGTGTGTGTGTGTGTGTGTGCGTGTGCGTGTGCGTGTGCGTGCTTCTGTAAGCATCACCCACCTCCCTCTCTTTCATTTCCACACACACACACTCCTGAATATGCAGCAGAAGCAATGGGCCGTAGGACGTGTGACGGCTGCAGAGAGTTGTGTGTTTCGTGTTGTTTCAGCTGCAATAATTGTTTGAAATACAATGCCAATAAAACTGCCGAGGCTTTCCACATGTGCCATGTATTTTTCTTGGGAAACACATCTGTCTGCTTGCCTGTGTTCACGTTCTTGCTCTTTAAAGAGGTGAACAGCGAGCTCGGCCTGCTTGTACTGAAACAGCTGCAGACCCGACGTCTGAATTAGTGGAAATAAAAACCAGAACTTGGTTTGTGAGGTCAATTTAACCCGACTCATGTCGACTTTTCTTTCTCCCCAGGAGATAATATTCATCAGTATTTACCACAAACATCCTTTTTCTGATCCTGCACTCACATTTCACAGTAATCTGAAGTAAAATAGTTTTTGTTCTTATTAGATATGTCTCAGTTATTTTCAAAAAAATCTAAAGAAACCTCTTTCTTTCCTCATCAATTTTAACTCTTCCCTGAGCCACACCCCTTTACTTCCTGTTATGTATGATTATTTTGACTCGAGCAAAACCCAAAAATCAAGAAGTTTTGTTTAACATCAGTGCAGAAAAGCTGCTTTTTCTTTTTGTGAAAAGAAGACATGAGTCCAAAATTACACCTGAAAATGTAATCTTATGATAATGTGGGTTCTCGTCAAAAGCCTAAGGAAAAATGTCAGCACCTTCCTTAGACATCAACCTTTACGCGGCGCATTCATTTATTGATTTGTTCCTAAAAACAACAAGTGTGCTTTGAAATTTCTACCCAGGACATTTAAAGAAAAATGTCGCATCCAGGGGCGGTTCTAAAAGGTGTCCAGGGCGGGCCAGTGCCACCCTGACAACACCTTCTGTGACTCCCTGCTGAGGGCGGAGCCTAAGCGTGAATTATTTTGGATTTCTTTGTGATAATTTAGCCAAACACAAGCTATGGAACCAAGGCATGGGAATTCATTTATTTCACGTTGAAAACAGACGCTGCGACAAATACGTGTTGTCACTGAGATAAATAACTAAGATATAAAAGTATTTTTTGCAAAATAACTATTTTTGAAACTTGCTGAAAACCTGTTGTATCTACAGTAACTTTCATTGAATTGTTGTTTCTAAAATTGGAAAAATCTAAAAACAATATTTTAAGGTTTCCTTACAAATATGCCTCTCTAACAGAGCGGGACTAACCCCAACCCTAACGTTGTCTAGAACCTACCCTGGTCAAATCATCAGTAAATCTCTATAAATGATGTGAAACTTTTCTTCATTTTCAACTGAAGCTTTCACAGTTAAAGGATTTGATTGTAAAAGACTGTGATAAAAAAGAATAAGAAGGTTTTCTGCAGTTTCTTGAATCGAGTTGCATCGTAGGGTCAAGAACACTCAAATTACTCAACATATTTATTAATGGCAGCACACAAAAACCCCATTAGATCACAGTAACACAGAAACAAGGCTCAATAATAAATCCATAATCGTATAAGAGTCTAACACAACTACAAACCCATCTCTGGGAGCTACTTCCTCATGTTGGGCTGTAGTGTTTTCCACCGGTCCAAACTGTTAACATGCATTAGTGGAACAATTATAAAAGCTGAGGTCTAATCTTTTAAATGTCCCAGGGTAACGCTGGAAAAGGCCAGAGGAGACGAGGAGAGGGGGGGATGACAGAGGGATAAAGGGAGGAAAAGGGAGGAGAGAAACTCAATCTAAAGCACCAGGTGCACCTTTTGTCGACATAATCTCCCAGCCCTCGAGACGGCGTTTGCACTGGCCAACATATACAGCCTTTCATATGTACACATGCTGCTTTTTTTGACTGGGGGGGGGATTTGAGTCCGGGACCTGGTTCTGGTCATATGTAAAGGGGACTCGAAGGTCAGAGCGCAGCCCGACGCGGGAGGTGTAAGTGCATTTGGTTGCAGGAAATCAACAGCAGGGAACCTTTCACGGCTTTTATACACGATTTGTACGTTATAGAGCTGTATAGTCTTGTTTCCTGATGTTAAAATGAAAGTTTTGTTCATGCATTGTTACGTCACACAAGTCGACTGCTCAAGAAGAATGTCAGTGTTTAAAAGTTGAGTATGCACCAAAAATAGCTGCTGAAATATTTAATTGTAAACAGTTTGAACTCATTGCAAGGTCGATGCTGGTAATTTGCGTTCTCGAACGTTCACCGCCATGCATTCACACAGCTCAAATCGTTGCTTTTAGTTCATTTAGATTTTTTTCCCAAGCAGCACTTTTAAAATTGCTTCTGGCACCTGAAACATGACCGTACATGACTTCATTAGACATACAAATGCTTCTCATAAACGTTTGCATGATTGTTTTTTTATTATTGGAACATAATGTTTAAAAAGACTGAATCCGAAGGTGTGAATGAGTTCTCTGTGCGAGAACGAGGCACCGACACGCCGCCGTTGTGAACGTATCGATGCCTGTCAATCAGCTTATAACATCGCCCGGCGAAAACAAAGACCTGCCTGTGTTGTTGTTGTTGTTGTTGTTGTGCATCTACAAGCTTGAATGGCTGAAAACCTTGAACTGCACACACACATGCACACACACTCTGGAATAACATTACAGACTGCAATAATCAATGGCCTCTATACCACGGTGAATTTAAGCAGGCCTGGCGCCCCTTGTCCACAATCCCTCACCCGTCATTGTTTAAGCTCGACCCTTAAACTCCTGCAAAGCCTCGAGTGGGGACGAAGCCAAGGACGGAGTGGGCTCATTGTGATTTAATCTCTCCCTGCCTCACTGCAGCTAGAACAAACATCAAATATGGCCTCCTTATCAGGTCAGTCTGGCTCTGTCTATCACCAATCAATATCTCCTGCTCTGTGTGTGCGTTTGTATTCTTGCATGGCTGCATTAGTGAGGTCTGTTGGATATTTTTGATCGGTGAGGTCCCCATTTTTTAAGCGGTTTGTAAATACAGACTTGATTTTGGGGTTTAAGATTAAAATCCGATACGAGTCGGTGTTAGACACTTAAATGTGACAGTTAGAGCTCAGAGAACGCCGTTAGTTAGAGAAGAAGGTCAGAGAGAAACGCCACGTGTGTGTGTGTGTGAGTGCGTGCGCGTGTGCGTGTGTGGGTGAAACAAGTCTCAGGGGCGGTGCTAACTGAGGTCAAAGATCATGTATAACCCTCCACTCTGGAATGACAGATGTGGCCTGAGGAAAACAGAGATAAAAGAAAGATGACAGCAAAATAAAAAAATAAAAAACTAAGAGGAGATTTCCACCAGTCGCTTGTGTTCCTACGACAGATCAGAAAAACACAGGAACTGTTTGGATTGCTTTTGTTGTCTGTGGCAGGTATGAGATCGCCTCAGGCGCTCCACGGAGCAGCTCACCCGAACACCAGCTCAAAGGACGGGAGGCTCCAGACCACCAGGCCGGTTAATTTCTATAAAAATGTATTTATTTTCACCAGGTAGGTCCCCCTGATACACTATCTCTTTGTCTAGAATAGTTATGTGGAAGTGTGAAAACCAGAGTCAGAAGGCCTGTAGGTAGACACCTGTCAAAGAAAAACGACAATTCAATAAGTGAAATTATGCATCAAATATTTATTTAAAGAGCAAGTCACCCCCTACCAGAGTCTAACTCCACTCCCACTTCATGTTCAAAAAATGCAACAAATGCTGTTGCCTGGCAGACCGAGAGGGCGGAGCCGCTAACAAATACACACACAGGCTCACCACAGCATTGTGACATCATAATGTACCAGTTTACATCATAGCATACCTCTTAGCCAATAGCGGTGGCAGGTTTAAATTCAAATACAGTGCAGAGTTTTTACCTGACAATGGCACAACACTGACAGTTTTAGGCAGAATATTTAAATTTTAACTAAGATTCACTGAAGTGCCAAATTATTGACTACACGTGTCTGCAGCACGATTAGACACTCGTTTATTTAGTTTATCAGGGGAAAAAAGTTGATTTGGGGGTGACTTGCTCTTTAAGAAATATATAAAAACATCCAAAAGTCAAAAAATTTGAACATTTATTCACCCGTGAGTGAAGGAGTACAAAATACGGAGCAACCGTTGACAGAAACGACGGGAAATGTAGGTTTAGAGATGATGACCGCATGAAGAGGTGGAGAAGAATGGACACATTTTTCCGTGTCATGAAGACTCTGAAATATATAAACACATTAGTAAACACACTATTGGTACATGAGTGTTATGGTGGCAGGATACCACAGAGCAGCGCTACGCCCTCTGCTGTCCTGGCGGGGAATAGCTCCGCTGCCTGAACAGAAGGTCGAATGTGATAACCTTTCCGACACTCCGTGTGCGTCTCTCCATTGCGGAGCTCACGGAGAAGTGTAAATCAGGCATACGGCCAGCCTGTTGTTGTACTGGCCTTGGTAGTCCAGGTTAAAGTAACCGGCCTGGCACTTTAACCACTATCTAGTCTGCATCCTACAAAGCTATAGTCGCTATAGACACGTATCATAGTGACCAAAGGCGGCAGGTTTCAGATCAGACACTAGCTTCTGAGAGAGGAGCAGGACACCTGACGCATCTTGCTTCCATTGACACTTTACAGGATTTTCAAAATAAAGCAGAAAATGTGCAGCTGAAACAGGAAAATGCATGACCGCAGCCAAAACAGGTTTGTTTGTTTTCATGAGGAAATAACAATGTGGATTTTCCATTATGCAGCCCCTTTAAATAAGAAATTAATCACAAGTGATGGAAACAAACACTAAAAGAGGCCGTTTGTGCAGCCTGTTTGGGAACCGAGCCAATCTGTTCCGTAGCCATCCGTAGGCCTTTGACCGCCACATTCACCAAACACAAACAAGATGATGCATTAATCCGTGTGAAGGTCTTTCTCTTCCGGATCAATTTTCATAGCAGAGAAGGTATGCATATGCTTCAAAAGGGGGGTCCTGGGGTGATATCACACTGCCTCCATTCACCGTCACGTGGCTCAATAGAGCTGCAGAATTCTGCAGGAGCTCCAGCAATGGCTGCTGGAGATGGATGAAGGAGAGACGGAGAGCGAGGGGGGCAATCCTTTGTTCTGTCAAGGACTTAACACAATCAGAGTGTACAGTGTGTCAGTAGCGCACAGGCATATATCAACTTCAATCTCTTTTTAATGAAAAATCCTGCCCTCTCTAATATGTGCAAATTAACCTCTTCTCCTCCTCCCTCCCTCCCCCGTTCCTGCCGTTTCCCCACCTCTTTCTCTACCTCACAAAGGTCTCTGAAGCTCCCTCCGCTGTTGTTCCTGTCATTCTTTTCTGCTCTTTTGCTTCACTTTCACCGGCGTCTCCCCATCTCGGTCTGTCAACAGAGAGGAGCGAGACTCCTGCTTTCCATTAGCTTGTTGCTTTAGTCACCCGGCCCCACGCTGCACAGCAATTATCCAGATCAGTTAGTTGTAAAAAAAAAATCAGTAAAAAGCAAAAACAGAAAAACAACTGTCCAGCAGCAGCATTAAAATCCCCCCCCCCCCCCCCCCCCCCAGTCCTCGTCTACTCTTTTTGCTTTTCATCTGGCTCTCTCTCTGCTCCAACACCCGCTCGCACCCGATCATGCTATTACCCTGATTATCCTGATGAGCTGGTCAGATCCTCGCCTTCTCATTCTGCCCATGCTGATTGTAATTTAGAAATTACGCCTAATGAGGAATTTTTAAAAACATGGCCACCACTCTGGGCTGCCAGCTCCACGCCGTTCCCTGGTCTAATGGATTTCCTGGTATGGAATCCATTTTTCCCCCCCTTTCCGCCCTGCAGGGGGTCTGGCTTGCCAAGTCCTCCCCTCCCTCCCTCCCTCCTTAAACCTCCCCCCAACTCCTGCACCTCCTCCTCTCCCAGCCTCCTCAACTCAACTAATTGGGGGCGACTGGTTTTAGTGAAAAGGAGTCATAATCACTGTTTCTGCAGCTAATTTGTGCAGGATCTGCTCACAGAACAAGGAAGTGATTGAATTTACTTTTGTTAATCTGAAAAGTTCTTCTTTCATGGAGATGTTCTTAATAAATTACATGACAGGTAGCACGACAAACGCAGAAATAAACTCATTTCTGGAGCATATGTGATTGATTTAAAGTATGCAGATGCTTTTTCAAACACTTTTGATTTCACAAATGAAAAGCGTCTTTTTAGAAAGAATCAAAGGCCCAAAAGGATGCTACACATCAAATGGATTGCAGTTTTACGCAGACACCTGTACGGTGTGTGTTTGCGTGAGTTATTTCTCAGAGATGGCGGGGCTAACCAACACGCTGACACGCAGCCACACATGCAAATCAAAGCCATCAACAGCTTGTGATGAAGTGAGATGTCGCAGCATAAACAGAGTGTGTCGTTACCATGGAAGCCACTTTCACCTCGCGGGGCCGAGAGACAGGAAGCACAAAGAGCCTCGGAGACGAGGAGCGAGCGACAGGAAAACAGAAACAGACAGACAGACTGTTACAAGCTCCCCTTCAGCAGCGTGTAATAGCTTTTCAAAGCCTTTCCTGAGCTCTTTAACCTGCTTCCTCTTCTTGGGAAATAAACACTTTATTTGTGGAGTGAGTGTTGGAGAGAAGGGAAAGTTAATTGAAGTGCGTTTTTAACGTGTAATTGAACGTACACAACTTTAATAGCTTTGAGAAAGTGACAAAGGGAAACACAAGGCGGCTGCTGGGGGGAAGGATTTTTGAAGCATCGCCCATGTTTCTTTTGTTCTAGTTTGGTTTCTACGGTCTTAAAAACCATCTTTCTGTGCAGGCAGAATAACACACAGCCACCACCGCCAACAAAAAGGTCACACACACTAATCTTTCATTGGAGCATCTTTGCTTTTGATTTGGACATGCATTCTGCAATCTCAGGGTTTGTTTGCATTCATTTTTACCACAATCTTACATTTATGATGGGAAAATCTGAACATTATGCAAAGCTATCCAAAAGTTCATCAATGGGGTTGAGGTCCAGACTCATTGGGGACTGAACCAACAACATGAGCCGTCTTTCCTCTAAAAAGTGACCAGGAGATGCGATGACTCAGGCCTTTTGGTTGTTGTGTCTAAAAAAATTAACCCTTTCAGGACTTTGCTAAGACGTTAGCAAATCGCGACTGCTTCAGGAGTGAGTGACGTCGCTGATCAGCGCCAAAAGGCATCCACGGACATTGATAACAGTTTTATTCTGTCAAATTACGCCGTAATTTAATCCATTCAGGGGACAGGGAGAGCTGCTTTGTGACGTAAAAAGCGTTTAGTCCAGAAGTACCTTTGGTTTTTATAGTGCTCTTTGAGACCTCAAAACACTGAATAACAACGTTGTTGGGGGACTTTTGCCACATTTTTCTGTGTTGGGAGTTTAAAGTAACACTAAATAGTTAAGCTAAGATCTCTTTGATCTTCGTGGTTGTTGAGTTGAGTGATTGTTGGTGGTCTTTAGTGGGAGCTCTTTACCTCCTTTACGGCTCTTAGCTGCTATGCTAGCAGGTAGCTTTTTCAGTTCGCCAATTGCAGTGTTGGGAGTAACGCCATTTAAATATAACGGCATTACTAACGGCGTTCCTTTTTAGGTAACGGAATAATCGAATTAATTACTCTTCCCACTGTTGCAACCCCGTTACCGTTACTGGGGACCAGGGGCGGCGTTAGGCCCGGCTACTTGGGTTGAAGCCCCGGATGTTTTATGAAAAGCCCCGGATCTAAATCGCGGAAGTAACATGCAGTACCAAAGTCCAACAGAGGGGGAGCAGCTGGCAGTAGTTTGTATACAGCCTGCCTGAGCCTTCACCACTGAAGAAGAAGCCCTTCAGCAGCCGGCTTCTTCCGCAGTCTCTGCCTGAAACGCATGAGTGAAGATGGACATAAGGACGTTTTTTAGACCAAAAGTACGGCGACAGAGCCCCAGCTTTGATGAGACTGGTGTTGACTCAGGTTTGTGAGTCTTATTAGAAAATATTTGTTGTGCTGCTGGTTTGCCTAAAGTTAGCTTACTATCAGGTAACGTTGTTGAAGAAAGAAGGGGAATATTTACTATCATCTCACACTAAACACTAACAGGAACAATATTCTCCCCTGAATATGCTTAATATGTAGCTTCAGATTAAAAATTATGTGGTACAAGACAAATATATATGATGTTGACTAGTGCGTGTCACGTGTGTGTGTGTGTGTGTGTGTGTGTGTGTGTGTGTGTGTGTGTGTGTGTGTGTGTGTGTGTGTGTGTGTGTGTGTTAAGCCCCGGATCTTCTTCAGTCCTAAATCTGCCCCTGCTGGCGACGGATGGTTGTGCATTACTATGCGCTTGTCGAACATTGAGCAACAGTGTGAGGCTTTCTGACCGCCACACTTCAGCTGCAGCCAGGGAGAGAGAGGTGTCGGTAACGCACTTACAAACACGATGATGATTGGCCGGGTGGGCGGAGACCCTCACTGTCTCAATCGCTGCCTGCTGTAGACCCAACTGAGCAGTGATGGGAATAACGCAGTTTAAAATAACCGCGTTAATAAAAAAAAGTCTTTCTGTAACGAGCAAACTAATTAATTACCATCTTCTTTTAACAAAACGTTGTTTCTGTTACTGATAAGGAAATGCGTGCGTCAAGCAGTGCGGTGTGTCGGAGCTGTCATCAGCTGATCAGGAGCTAAAGAGGTAGATGTTTTCATCCAAGCGCATCACGGCCCGTGAAGAACGAGGAAGACATGATGAATACCTACGGCTGCAGACCCGCAGATTCGTTGCTGCAGCAGCGAATCTGCGGGTCTGCAGCCGTGCCCTTCTTAGCGTGACAGCGGGACGTCCCGAAGGTCCGCTCAGACGTCCTGATCTTCTACCCTCCTAGATCATCCAGCTGTAACGCGTTTCTGATCATGTCTTTAGTCCCGCTGTAACACTGATGCATCAGTCTCAGACGTCATGGAGCTCAGGTGTTATTAGAACTACCTGTGTGTGTTTACCACCCAGCTTCAGCTCTTGTGTGTTTGGGTCTGACCCAAGTTAGTAAATGTAAGTCCTCCATCAGGCTTGTGCCTCTTCTAGTGTCATTTTAAAGGATTTTATTTATTTATTTAACTGTTACTAGATTACCAGCAACAGAAATGCTGCTAAAAGCACACAATTATGTGAAGCTGGAAAAATTAAAATGCTGTGCAAAATTACATTCATTTCTGTAATTTCAATTCAAATTCAAATTCAATTAAAAAAATCTTTAATCATCCCTGAGGGGTAATTGTTTATTGTTAATTGTTTTGTAGTTCCTCCTGTTATGTGCTTATTTATTTATTTATTTATTTAAATTATTCAGGTTCATAAAAAACATTTGGACATACATTTTATTATGTTCCAGTCATTAGTCATTTATATTTCACTATTGTAGTAATACTTGCATGCTTTAATGAAAAAAGTAACTAATTATTTTTGTTGGTATTTAGTTACTTTTATAATCTTGTAACTCAGTTAGTAACTGAGTTACTTTTTGACAAAGTAACCAGTAACTATAACTAATTACTTTTTTAAAGTAACGTTCCCAACACTGGCCAATCGTCAATAAAAAGCAAAAGTTTTTTTCTGTTAGCATCAGAAAACATAAGAAGTAAAAGTAAGAGAGTAATGTCTTTGGAGGCGAAGCAAAGAGCTAAAACCAGAGTGAACGTTGGCACAGCCTATACTAGTTTCGGGGAGCTAAAGGAGGCCACAAAATCATGGACTGATGGTGACCTGGCTTTGTTGCTGCTGGAATTGTAAGTAATTTTTTGACATTCCTTATGTTCTTTCTGCATTTCTCTTCTAATTCCATAGCTTTTCTGTTCTTATCGTATACACAAAGTAGCAAAGTTTCTGTTTTTCTTGCTTTGCTTGCTGATGGTTTCGGCGTGACACAGTTAGCTTCTCTTCTGTGTTGAAGGCCACCTCCGCTGTTTATCCGGGGGCAGTAGGAGACGACGTCGCCCTCTACTGATCGCACCTTCCCTGCAGATCCTCACATCCACAGAGAAAATTCCTTCATTCTTATTCAGGGTCCAGGATCCATGTCTCCTTGTCTCCATTGCCTAATTTGTCCATCTTCTGTACTTTTGTTGTTCTGTTGTTATGATCCGTGAGCTGTCCCTGTCCATTATATGATTTTCTCTTCCTGTTACAGCTGATTTCGTTATTTTGTTAACTGTTTCTTGTTGGGATACTCTTGTGTGTCTTTGGCAAGGTTGGGAAAGCTCGTTTAAAAAACGAACTAGTTCAAAGTTCAGTTCATGCACTTTAAAACGAACAAGTTCATTTTCTTCGTCTTCGTCTTCCTCCGCTTATCCGGGTCCGGGTCACGGGGGCAGCATCCCAACTAGGGAGCTCCAGGCCGTCCTCTCCCCGGCCTTGTCCACCAGCTCCTCCGGCAGGACCCCAAGGCGTACCCGGACCAGATTGGAGATGTAACCTCTCCAACGTGTCCTGGGTCGACCCGGGGGCCTTCTGCCGGCAGGACATGCCCGAAACACCTCCCCGGGGAGGCATCCAGGAGGCATCCTGACCAGATGCCCAAACCACCTCAACTGGCTCCTTTCGATCCGGAGGAGCAGCGGTTCTACTCTGAGTCCCTCCCGAATGTCCGAGCTCCTCACCCTATCTCTAAGGCTGAGCCCGGCCACCCTACGGAGGAAACTCATTTCGGCCGCTTGTATCCGCGATCTCGTTCTTTCGGTCATTACCCAAAGCTCATGACCATAGGTGAGGATTGGGACGTAGATCGACCGGTAAATCGAGAGCCTGGCCTTCTGGCT